GAAACCAATGGCTCGCTCGGTCCTGAGCGAACCGCGCTGGTAACCCGAAAACGCCCTCTTCGCCAAATTGCACTCGTGCCCCCGAAAGACCCTGTTACCAGAGTTCTCAGTTCTGGCCTGGGACTCCACTTTCCCCACAAATCCTTGGCACACCCCTTTTCGCACTTCCAGGCCCACATCCCACTCCGATCAGGAAGTCGCGTTGGGCGTAGGGTTGGTATTGGAGCCCGGCACGTGGCTGGGTCCTAGGATTAATAGCACGCTAATTAGGCGATCTGGCTAACCGAGGGCGGCCTCGCCCCTGGAACGTGCATGGACGCGACCCTGTCATCGCCCGAAGCAAATCGGCTAATCGACGAGCAGCCAATTTGGCTGCTAATGTGCAAAATCCGAATCCGCAACAGAATGCTAATCAACTGAATCCTAATCAACCCGCCCCACGAGCACGGGCTCCCATGATGCCAACTGATCTCTATATATTCCATCCAGCACACCATCTCGCAGGAGCATGGCTGGCTACGCTTAGAGCGCAGCAATACGACGATAACGAAGCTCAGGTAAACATCCCCGGTCGATTAGGAGGAGACGCTCATCACTGGTTTAGTACCTATGTATGGGTAGATCTTCAGACCTTCGAACGAGACTTTCTGAATCGATTGGATTACGTTCACCCAGAGCAAGCGCTTTACATGATGAAGGATCGGGTGCAAAAACCTCTCGAATCCGTAGCAGAGTATCGAAACTGGTTCTACCAAATGTTTGTGAAAACTGAGCAAGGCGAGCAAGTAGGGAGAGATCTGTTCATAGACAGACTCCACAGCCGAACAATAAGGGTGAAGCTGCGAAAGCAGTTTTCCGCCATCAATCACACGCTACAGCAGATCATGGCCGCCGCTGCAGAACTGTAGAAGAAATGGAACGGAAGTTTGCGGCGAACTTCCTGGAAGGAGAAAACTACTCTAGGGAAGGAGATTCGTCCAAACTCATAAGAGCCAGAGCTGAACTAGCTGCGCTGCAAAACAAATTTAAAAACATGGGGTTTGTATCAGGTCTTGTCACCTACATGGAACAGGTAGCCCCTAAACGACCAGTTCCAAGTGAGATCCCGAGTGTCCCTGTCCCTGTAATGCCAACGCCTGTAAGAACGGCACCCCCGCCCTCAGTCGAGATTCCCGTACGATCGAATGAATCAACTGCCATACTCGAGCTGACCAAAACCTTGGTTAGTCTAATTCAGGAAAGTAAAAAGGAGCAGCAAGAGCACAATGCTCGGTTGGAAGCCATGATCAGGAACATGCGGCCCATTGCGGTGCATGCCCCTCCGATTCAGCAAGGGTTAGCCCCGACACCCGCTCTTGGAGGAGTCGCAAGCAATCTGAACGTCTGGTATGCATGTCATCAACTTGGGCATCTAGCCCGTGATTGCCCTCACAGGCCTCCGCAACAACGTGTCGGGGTCGCGCCGATGGCCGCGGCCCCCATCGCTAACGGACCAGGACGAGTAGGAGCTTTGATGGAAGAAGTAGAAGGTGGGGGAAGTGCCTTAGCCACCACAGAAGAAGCGGCCGAGCTAATTCTTTTAGATCAGTACGTATCACTTGGCTATCCCGGACTTGGATTGATCGGAATGATCATACTAGCACCAGAACAGAAAGAGGTGGCCGAGTGGTGACCTTCTACAGGAGAGATGGAGTCGGGAGGATCCACCTTCGTCACTGGGGAAATCGATGTGCTTAACATCGTTCGAGCCTTGGACCATCGGATCCCGCTTTCGATCGGTCATTTGCTTTCGATCTCAGAACAAGCTAATGAGCGAATGCTACAACACTGCAAGGCGAACCGGAAACAATTCGCCCTCGCTCGAATATCGAACGTTAAGTCTAAAAACCCCACGCCCGAGGAAAACCCGGTTGGCACGTCGGATCCAATTCGGGTAGGGTTAATCCAGAAAAACGATCATTTCCTGCGGATTAAACCCATCCCGTGGAAATCCACAGAATGTGATATTGAAATTTGGGGAATTCCTTACAACGCAATTATAGATTCGGGAGCGACGATGTTGGCTATTTCACTAAGAGTGGTCGAAAGGGCAGGAAGGAAAAACGATTTGATCATGCTTTCCGAGAAAGATCAGCTTGTTTCGGCCGACGAAGAAAATATTAAAACAGTCGGAAGGATGAGCAATGTCGCTTTTCGATAAGGAAAGGTGCATGCACTGAGAGATATTGTCGTATTAGATGTGAATACCTACGACGTCCTTTTCGGACTTTCTGCTCTTGTAGCGTTACGAGCAAACCTGGATTTCGAATGACAATCGATCGTCCTCCGAAATACAGGAGGAAAGCCCTATGATGTACCTATGAGGCTAACCCTTCGTACCACCATCAACGCAGTCCCACGGGTTTCGCCAATGATGACAGGGACTCTCCGCATGATCTCCTGGGATAAATCCGCAGATGGAAAGTCATCGACGAATGATGCGGACAGCAGTGATGAGGACGATCCGAAAATCTCGAAGCTAGCACGACAGCGTGTTTACTACCCGCCACCCAGAACGATAGCAAGAACGATGCATCTGACCAGTCGGAACATTCAAAGGACCAAGGCGATGCATCTGATGGTCGATTCCTTGGAACCCCCTCAAACCTTGTACGAAGGAATCACCCCTCTCCTCGCCCGGTACAATGACAAAAAGCATTACCGGGACATTACGGATCTACCAAGGTCCCTCTTGACACCCGCAAAAGAAGTGCGACTGTTGCACTTGGGGGCGGAAGCAAGTTCTTTGGAACCCCTAGGGCGCCTCGAAGCTGACTCGGACGAACTTCGAGTAAAGATCGCGACTAGGATTGTACCATGGCAGGATGTTTGTGACGGAATTATCCCAGAAGGACACATGGTCATTCGGGAAGAAGACACCCAGATAATGGCCACGGTGTTCTCCTGGCGATCGGATCACTCCTTCATTTCTGCACCCCCGCCCGATGTGGCGAAACCTGCACGCACAAAACAGATAGATGTACGGATCTGGGACCAGCATTTCGAGTTACATGTGCCACGGTACTTACCTGATGAGATTCATGGATTGATTGCAGACATTTTGACAGAATATCGGGGAGCAATTAGCGTGACAGGCACTGACATTGGCCTGTCGTTAGTTATTCAACACAAAATACAGACGGGAAATCACTCCTCGATCCATTGTAAGCCGTACCGATACTCCCTGATAGAGCGCAAAAAGGCTCTCGAACGAATTCGAGAATTTGAAGCCAGCGGGTGGATTGAACCCGCCACCGGACCATGGTCATTTCCCGTCGTACTAGTGCCGAAGAAAAACGGATCAATTTGCGTATGCGTCGATTATCGCAAGTTGAATGAAATCACGATTAAAGATGTGTATCCCCTCCCCCGAATTGATGATTTGTTGGATGCGATTGGTTGCGCTAATTATTTCAGCAAGTTTGATATTCGGCATGGCTTCCATCACATTCTGGTGAAGGAGGAAGATCGGCCAAAGACGGCCTTCGTGTTGTTTGAAGGTACGTGGCAGTGGGTTCGGTGTCCGATGGGGATTTGCAACGCGCCTGCCACGTTTTTGTGAGCGATGAACATGACATTCCAGAACTTCGTCAACAAGACGCGGCTAACACAGGGGATGATCAACTTATGCGTGATCATGTACATGGACGATATCCTTGTCTACTCAGAGACCTATCACGGGCATGCGCAACACATCTAGTGGACATTGGGAGCGCTGAGAGACACTTGGTTCAAGATCGCGCTCGAGAAGAGTGAGTTTTTCCTCTCGAAAATTTCGTTCTTGGGCTACGTCGTGAAACGTGGAGGACTGCGGCCGGACTCAAGAAAGGTTGCGGCGGTAAGAGAAGCCCCAGTTCCCACGTCACTGACGCAGGTTCAAACCTTCTTAGGGTTGGCGTCGTACTATCGTCGCTTCATCAAGGGTTTCGCCGCAATTGCACGACCACTAACGAACCTGCTAAGGAAGGACCAGCCTCTCAGCTGGGACGCAGAGTGCCAATAGGCTTTCGCAACCCTCAAGGACGCTCTGGCGACGACCCCTATTTTGATTCGGTCGGACCCCTCGAAACAGTTCATTCTCATCACGGACTGGCAACCGGAAGCTATCTCCGCTATTTTAGCGCAGAAGGGGAACGATGGTCGTGAACATATCATCGAATACGCGTCACGCATGGTACCGGACGAGCGAAGGAATGACTCAGCACCTCAAGGCGAATGCTATGCAGTAGTCTGGGGAATCCAGCACTTCCATCCGTATCTCTACGGACAGAAGTTTCGCCTCGTAACAGATCACGAACCCTTGCTAGCGTTGAAGAAACTCACCAATTACATGGGCATGATTGGCCATTGGGCGGTGCGACTACAAGAATACGACTTCGATATCATCCATCGAAAGACAGAGCGACACGGCAACGCGAACGGACTGACACGTCTGCATCGACCTGCCAAGGTACCAAAGGGCGCGGAAATCACACCATGGAAAGAGACGGACTTGACCAACGAGCCTAAGTACGGACAAGTGGCAGTTCTCCCACGTGGCAAGAAGCAAAACGGCGGCAATGGGTGATGGAGGTAACCGCACTACCCCTCTCTCTCCCCTTTCCTCTTCGTCTCTCCTCTCCCTGCCCGACAAATTTTGCTATTTTTGCGAAGCTATCTCCCTCGTGTACTCGGTTTTCATGTGCCCTAACGGGGAAGGGTATGCGGACTGGATAGATTGTCGACAGTGTGTCGCACGAACCCATGGCTCGTGCATCCAATACAAAAACGATAGTAAACCGTGGTTGTGCCCCTTGTGTCGGACTGACAAGATTCCAACCGAGGCTAATTTTTCTGATGCCACGTCAGAAGGGTTGGAAAAAACCCGGAAGTTTAGAAGGGCCGAAATATGGACTGATATCGCCTTGATTGCCACCCTGGTTGGCAACCCCCTCCAGGATTTCACCAAGGAAGATTGAAGGAAAGCCAACGAGAGGGCTCGGGATTACAGATGGATAAAGGGCAGATTAGAAAAATGGAAAACAGACGGCAGTGGGATTTGGATGGTTCCATTCATAAGGTATGACTGGGTTAAAACGACACATGAAGAAACTGCGGCTCATTTCGCCGTACGGATTACAGAGTCGGCTATCGACAAAAATGAGTGGTACTGGTCCAATATCCGCGACGATGTGGAGTACATCGTCGCCAACTGTCAAGTGTGCACCGCTGATAAGGCACCGATTCAGCCTCCAAGATCGATAGTGCCAACGGTAGTTGAACGACCATTTCAAAGAGTCAGCATGGACACTACCAACATAGTGGTGCCCCCTGACCCTAATAGTTGTGAGTATTCAGTCCTATTGGTTTTTGTCGACCATTTTTCGAAATGGATCGAGGCCTACCCCTGTCGCACGCGACAAGCCGCCGAAATCGCGCGATACGTCAACCGTTGTCTCGGGATGCACCAGGATACGGAAGAGATCCCGATCGACAATGGGGTTGAATTCAGAGGAGAGGTGCTGAGGAATTTGGTCATAAATGGCGTCGCCATTCGAAATACCGCACCCCATATGTCACAATCTAATGGACTGGTAGAAAACGCTAATAGGGTGATAAAGACAGCACTGCGACGCAACATCGAGGCACGGGATCCGAGGCCCTAGCCCGATATCGTCGACCACATCCTGGCGGTCCATCGTGGTACACCTCATGAATCGACGGGGCTAAGTCCCTTCCAATTAAGGACCAATAGCGTTGCTTGCGTGTCAATACCAAGCCTCCCAGATGAATCTACAATGAACCGGCGACCCACCAGGGCCACAACTCGGGACAAGGCCAAGCGACACCTGTAATTAATGGAGCGGTCCCTTCCTAGACTAGCCCGAAAACGCCACAGAATGACCGAGTTGGCCCAAGGCCGACAGGTCCGAAGCTACGAGGCCCGGAATGGGAACGCGGGTCCACGGCCCCAGTACAAATTGGGGGACATCGTGCAGGTGAGGAAATGTGCTCGCCAGGGTAAGCTAGCGCCACGATTCTTCGGGCGATTTCGCATAATCGAACTCGGACTGAACGGTGTGAACACCGTGCGGCTTGCGCCTGAGGTCTCCGACAGCCGATCGGCTCGGCCGATCATCCGCCACGTATCCTATCTTCGCCCCCTTCCTCCTTCCCCATCTTCGCACTCTTCCGTCTCCTCCTCCGCTGCAGAAGAGGACGACGATTGTCTATCCCCTATCTCTCCGTCCCCCTCTTGTTCCTTTTCTAACACTCCAGCCCCACCACCATCGCCATGAGCTTTCTTACGGAGCGAGCCCTCGGCGACCATCTTTTAGTACCGCGGGGATACATCTCAGCGATCCGACAGGTGCGCCACCCACGACTTATCCCGGATCTGCTACGGCTGGCGCAATTTTTCTGTACATCGGGAGTGTATGCCGCCACGGAATTCCGATTTGCCGGGAGCCCGCAGGCGATAGTGCTCGTGGAAGCGGTGGCTGTCCGTTGTCGATCGACACCAAGGATAAGCCACGTGTCAACGACCATTGACTTCAGCGGCGACATCAGTACGATCCACGCACTCTGGCATACCGACATCAAGACGCAGTTGAGAAGGTGGGCGCAGCAACTCATCGCAGAGTGGAATCGCTCTCTTACGCACCCTAGGGAGAGTCTCTTTCCCACGGAGGGCATCGAGCTCGGAGGAATCCGAGCATTCCAGCACGAACCTGCGGTGGAACTCCCGGAGCTTATCCACTTCCAACGTCCCCAATGAACCCTACCTCTCTCTCCACCTTTGCGCTCCCCTCTCTCTTTCCCACCTTTTGGCAGTCTAGTCTCCATCCTCGTCTCTCCTTCATCCTAGAACCTCTCGCAGTCCCCCTTCTCGATCCTGGGCAGTGGAGGCTTTGAGGCGAAGACTTCGTGGAGCTGTCGGTGTGTTTGGTTGGGATACAGGTGACGTGGGCACAGGACGAAGATCATCGCGCCTGGAGCGAGCGATTGGAGTGGCTGATCATTCAAGCGTGGAGGACGGACGAGGACGGCGACTTGCTCGGGTTCCTTTTTGGCTCGGTACGTCCCAGCCATCACCGGCCGATCGTCCTCGAACTTACGATCCCCCTCGCGCAGCTCGCGGACGATCTCCCCTTGGACATCATCTCGCAAAGTGACGCTAGCCCAGTTCCACACGTCCTTGCGCGGAGCCAGACACCGTACCTCCAGTGGTCTGCGTGTCTAGAGGAACCAGGGGATGACCGCCAGCTGCCGTCGCGACAAGCGTATCTGAATCCGGGAGGAATTATCAATCCTTCCTTCTTCCGCGATCGGGCAGCCGCCGAGGACGAAGCGCTAGCAGCAGAAGAGGAAGCAGAAGAGGAGGAAGAAGAACAGCCTGGCAGCGGAACTGAGACAGAAGAAGACAACGAAGAAGAAGCTCCCGAAGAAGGGAGTTACAACGAACATAGCGAGGGCGAGCCGAGCGAAGAGGAAGAACCAGACGACGACGAAGAAGAAGAGGAGTCTGAATACAAAGGATTTGAGGAAGAGGTGTGTGACGAGGCTCGGGCCCGGAAGAAGGAAGAAATCGCGGCCGGAAAAAGACAGCTGGAGTTGGCCAGCTCAGCCGGCCAACCTCAAGCCGACGACCCGGCCAGAGATCCGGAGCTACCAAAGCCCGAAGATGGAGCGACAGCTGGCGAGACTTCGGCCCCACCAGCAAGACGGCGACGAAGCCGATTCCCCTCCCCCTCCGCCTCAAACCGTCCACCAATTCGTCAACGTACCGATGCGGGGCATCGGGCTTCGTCCCCGTTCGTTATCCCGCAGTCCCCTTGATCATCTCACTCCCCGCCAAGCCACTACCCGCGTCGTCTTCCCTCGCAACCCCTTCCCCTTTGATACTTTTCGTTTCTTCTACGCCACCCGACTCATCGTCTCAGTCTATCCCCACCCTTCCACCCGATGCGCCCTTCCTGATTTCTATCTCCACGTACTTCTCCTAAGCGCCGCGTGGCGAGGCCACAATATGGTTGAGGTGTATTGCATCATCACGGGGACCATCCCCGCGTGCGAACACCGCGACCATTTTCGCGCGGCCCTCTTCCGCACCTTCGTCACTCTCTATCCCGACTATCTCGGCTCTCTCCCCCATAATGGCAATTGCTTTCCCCGTTTCCACCGGATTGTGCGGTATGAAGAACTACCAGAAATGGTGGCCAGGCTGGATAGCTTTCTCCCTCCTCCCGATGAACCCTCCTCGTCGCCACGCCTCCATGTATCGGCTGCCCTTCCCTCTTCCCGTTGAACGCTGCTGATTGGATGAATAATATGGTGGCACGTGTAATCCCCCTCCTTGGAATGTCGAAAGCCCACCCTGAGGAATTAGTAGAAGAGCAGTATTGCCACGTTGGATGACGTCCACACTCGATTCAACGGTAAGTGGCATAGAGAGAGATGCTCCGCGTGTCGATTAATTAGAGAAATCGACATGTGTCACAAGCAAGTAGGAGCTTGCTAATATTGGAACCCCCTGGGCGTCACATATGTGACGAACCACTTACTGTAACGCGCGACTTTCTGCGCGGTTGCAATGAGGGTCCCTAAGCTGGGAAGGTCGGGCCAATTACGGGAAGTCGGGATCGGTAGGAAATTGCATCAGTGTCCTTGCTTTTTCGTCTTTTCGTCGCTTCTTTTCGGATGGCTGGGTTTGGAGCTGGGCGTTTCCTAGGATGGCCGGTTGATTGATTGGTTGACCGAATGGCTGGCGCGTCACCGCGCGCGCGATTAATAATGTTGACGTCGATCTTTTGGGCGCGGACATCGCGCGGGAATTTGCTTTGTTCTTTTTGAATTTTTCTTTCAAATCTTTTTCGAATTTTGTCGAGCCCTGATGGCTCTCGGAATTTCGGACTTTCTTCCTGGAACTTGTACTTTTGCTTTTCGCATTAGCTAGGAAATTAGGAATTTTGTAATTAGGACTTTCTTTTGCCGCGTGGCGCCCTTTTTTGCTTACGCGCTTCTTTTTGCGGCTGCAACGGAATCAGTCGGCGCCTTTAATCGGGTGTGTAACTGTAATCTTGGGTTGGCGCCATTGTAACTGTATCTTTCTTCTTGCTCTTCGTCCTTCCCGCCCTCCTTCTCTTTCTTTTGCTGCGTTTTTGAAACTAC